CCCTAAACCCTAAAACCCTAACAAAAAACCTAAAACCCTAAACCCTACGTAAACCCTAAACCCTAAACCCTAAACCCCTAAACCCTAAACCCTAAACCCTAAACCCTAAACCCTAAAACCCTATTCAGCAAAGCCTCAGCCGCTCATTGCCAGGCTGCCGGGCCCCTCTTAGCTTTGCGAGGAGACCTTGCCTGCGAAGCCGAGGACGAGGAGGGGCCTTAACAGAGTTTAGGTTCTAGGGTTTTAGGGTTTAGGGTTTAGGATTTAGGGGTTTAGGGTTTAGGGTTTAGGATTTTAGGGGCTTTCAGCTTGGGGTTTGAGGGTTTAGAGGTTTGGGGTTTAGGGCTTAGGGTTGCATGAGGCATGTAAATCAGCAAGTTATGTTCGTTTTGTTTGTTGTTTTTTTTTTGAATTGGGTGCTGATGCTTCCATGATGTCGAGGCTAGGACTTGACGGTGGTTGATCTCGACTTTGGGTGAAGGGGTAGTTACTACTGTAGCGGTTATTCAAGGCTTCAGGATTTTGGGATTTCAGGGCTTCAGGGTTTAAGATTTTGGGGAGGGTTTGATGCTCCGAAAGGTGCAGGGTTTTGGAGTGCTTGAGGACTTTAGATGTCGTCATTGGCATTCATCTTGCACTGGCCCAACGCGAGGAGTTGAGACTGAGACAGGGCGACACAGCTTGCTTCCCGAAGCCCTACACCCTAAACCCTAAACCCTTGAACCCTTAAGCCCTAAACCCTAACAGCTTGCTTAATGTTCTTAGTGTCATTCTTTACGCCCGCCGGGATTCGGTGCAAGCGAAGACTGAAACCCTAAGAGTTTAGCTCGGTCGTGGATTTCGAGTCTACAATGAGCAAGGATGATGTTATTATATGGGGCTTCAATAATTACCTATACTATCTTGGGGGCTCCTTATTATGAGTATACTATCCAAAGCCCTATTCTAATTATTATAAGGCCCTTACATTAGCAATCTTTCGTGGACTTAGGGTGGCCTTCGTGTTGCCCAGACGTCTCGTGCAAGGTGCACAGCGCGGACCTCGATCGCACGGTGCTGCTGCTAAAGACATCTGGCACAACTTCGCGCGGGAAGGCTCTGCCCCCCCCCTTGCTCAGCCGTTTGAAGCTGCGGGGCGAGGGAGAACATTTAGGGTATAGGGTTTAGGGTTTAGGGTTTAGGGTTTAGGGTTTAGGGTTTAGGGTAGAGCATAACATGGGACCCTGGAACCAAGGCTCAAGCCCCAAACCAGGAGACAGAAAAGACAGAAGAACCCTCAATACAGCTTGTAGACTTCCTTGTCATGATTTTAGTAGGTGTGTTGCAGCAAATTCCAAGAGTGAGAACGGATACCTGTTCTATTGTACGATATTGTACAGTTGTTCGCAGTCTGAACAGCAGTTGCAGAAGCTAGACAAAATCTATCAGTTGGGACATATTTTGGGGCCTGAATAATTACCAATACTATTTGGGGGTTTCCTTATTATAATTACGGTACAATGGATTGCAGAAGAAGACGAGAGCATCCTCGTCGTCGCAGCTAAAAGAGGAGCAGGCGCAGGGGCCCCATTACTGGGACCAAAGTTTCCGTACCCTGAACCCAAACTTGACCTGCCAAGCTCCGCTTCATATCCGAACCCTATATCCCTAAACCTGAAACCCTAAGCCCTCATCGCGTAGCCATTGTTGGCTCAAGCCTACTCTACGACACAGGCGTGGAGCGCGGTGTAGCATACTCGCATGTGTGAACATGGCTGATGGGCACGACGGTGTCAACGAAAATCTCCAGGCCGGCCTGAGCCTGGCGGCTAATGAAAGAAGCCAACAACCAGGCCGCTCAACATGCAGAAGAACCTGTTGATGCGGCGGATCCCGGAGATCCAAACAGATTAAAGAAGGAGATTGCGAAAACTCCGATCGAACAGATTCTGGTGCAGGCGATGGTGGATCACGCCAACGGCATTCGTGATTGCCCAACGAGTGCAGTGGCACCACCTACAGGAGTTCAATGCGTGACATGTGAGCGGCTCAAGGAATTAGTAAATTCGAATTCATCATTTATTTTTTGCATTCCCTGAGGGCATATGGCAGTCCAATCATGTACATAGTGAGTCTCTCTGCGAGTGAATTGTGATTGCAGATAGGATCGCATATGCCCACCCGAGGTGTCCTGCTTCCCTTATATTCTCATTATCACACTCGTGCCCCTTAGTCCCTATCCCTGTCCCCTGAATTTGAATAGGCCCGAAGTCCTGAATTAGGCATTGTTTTATGCGCAGGACGTCCGGCATGGAAAGCCAGGGACACCATTCTTAGCAGGGTTCGTGCTATTGATCTCTATAGCTTTCTCTCGTTCAAATAGCTTCACCAAAGCCGACTAAAGACCACAAACCTCGCCTGCATCGTCCGTGTGGGAGAGCCGAAACCCGACAACCGTGAACTTTATAGCCTCCAGCCTCACCCTTGTTCATCAGGTGGTGCCTTTCTCGCTGCGCCGGCTGCGCCCGGGCTTTCTCACTGATTTGGTTGAGAAGTGGATACGGAGCTTTGGAAACATTGTGGTGCTCGCTCATTTCCAGAAGATTCATGCTCTATTTGGGATCCCTTATATCCCGGTTGTGGGTGCAAGGCTTCTATGTAGGGTTTAGCAAAACAGCAGCTGCAATCTCACATTGTTGCGGGAGCCCGGATCCTTGGAGTTCCCAACAGCGAAATGTGCCCCACAACCTTTTTCAATCATTCAGTACCTTGTATTAGGTTATCCTTCTTGGAAGCCCTGACAGTCCCCTTTAAGGAATCCCGGTACTATTTGGTTTCTAGGTGGCACTATTGAAAATTCTTTAAATGTCCGAGAGGTACCTACTCATAAATACTTTTAAGGGCCCCAAAACTACAACCCTGGTTATCCCTTGGTTTGAAACTCGCACCAGCCCCTAAGGTCCCTCGCCGCGCGGCTGAATGCGCGTAGCGTGGAGCTGGCTCCCGGGGATGTTTGCCAGGAGCTCGGCAGGGTAGGTCGTTCTTTTAGGGTTTAGTGACTAAGTTTAGTGTAGGTCGTTGTTGTCGGGGATTTAGAAGAATTGCTTTTGTTTATGAGTGCTCCAGAGAAATGGGTTGACTGAGAGGGTTTTCAGGACTTTAGGAC